TTGGTATTTTCCTATAGCGACCGGTCTTGTGTTGGGTTTACCTTCGTCTTTTGACACATCGGTTCATTTTTCTCTTTCTTGACACTGCTCTTTGTGGTCTTCCCCTGGCATCCACCTTTTCACTTGCGCGCGCTCGCTCGCGCGCGCTCCCTCTCTCTCTCTCTCTCTCGCTCTCTCTCGCTCTCTCTCTCTCTCTCTCGCTCTCTCCCTCTCTCCCTCTCTCTCTCGCTCTCTCGCTCTCTCCCTCTCTCCCTCCCTTCCCTCCCTTCCCTCCCTTCCCTCCCTCCTCTTAGTCCCCTTGCATTGGTTCGCCACATGGCTTTTAATTTTTCTCCAAGAACTGCATCATTTGCATTGCCTATTTACTACCCTCCAATTCTTCCTCGCCGTTGAATCTGATTGGATTTTAAAGATTTCTTGAATGGTCAGCTGGGGATGCGTACAGCACACCTTGAATCGTGCGAACTGTGATGTCATGCAGGTTAGCTAAATGTGTGACTGAGTCACTTGTCATTGTACACCTGTGCTCTGCCACTCTGGTGTCCTCTGTGCAGCCCTAGCCTTGAAGTCCCAAGAACATCATCAGTTCGTCTCGCGGAACAGCGGCCCGAGGACCCAAGAAGTCTCAGTTGAACGTGAGAAAACATGTGTTGTATGTACTTACACAAACAATGTATACAGCCTCCCCATGATCTACCAATGGTCCCTATCAGCTCTTTTCTAGCTCTGGGTGCAGCACTTGCCAAGTCATTGGACAACATGGGCAGGAGAACAGAAAAATACCACCTGTCAAACCGCAACTTGCCACAAAACACTGTTTGGCAGCTTCAACATGTTCCAGTTTCAAGGAACGTCCAATGAGATTCGTTGGAGTCTCAGCTGCATGCTGACTGTCGAGCACCACGGGATTGGGTTTCAGCATGACTTTGTGCTCAGTTCTGCCAGCCTCAGGCTGGACAAGGACAACAGTCTACAGTATCCTGGCCTTTTGTGAGGGTTGGGCTGGTGAGTCTACAGGAGGTAAGCCAAGTAGCTAAGTAGCAAGCTAAATTTATGTATATATATATATACAACCGAGAGAGGGAACAAACAAATTAGCTAGCTATGGGACGCCAAAGGTTTTTGAAGCAACCTAGTTTATCTTAAAGTAACTCAAACGGAGTATATAGTTGGTAAATTTATCCAAGCCAATGTTTAGCTAGTAACAAAGGGTGGTGACATCTCAAATCTATGGTGAACGTAACACGGGATCTCCCGCCAAGCTGCCTCCAAGGCTGCCCAAGTCGAGCTGCCTTTATCAAGAATGCCATCAACCTAAGCAAAAATTACACCAGCATAGACCCAGATAGCTAGGCCTGCACAGCCAGCTTACGGCGCCTCCACAGCGCACACAACCAGCTGACACCACACCAGCACCAGCACCGACACCCTTTCGAAAGCGCGCGCAGCCAGCTCATTCTTATTTGCAGCAAGAACCCCATAGCTATTCCCTATGAATTCGGGGAATAACAACGTATGATCTTGCGCGTTTCAGTTTGCGCGCACAAAAGTATGCACGCGAACAGCAAAGCCTGTAAGTGTCATTGTCATTGGCCCACGGCCAAGCAGTATCCAGCGCCACTATTGACTTTGTAGCTTGCTTGAAGCAACGATCTGTAGAACGATAAGGCCGCATGATCTTGCGCGTATAAGTTTATGCGCACAAACAGCAAAGCCCGTAGGCTTCACTCGCCCAAGGCCAAGCAAGCAGTATCCAGCACGACTATTGTGTGTGTAGCATGCTGAAACATGCTGAAGCATGGTCGGTTGAGAGCCTGACGTTGCGCATAGAACATTAAAAATACAAAGTACCCGCGCAAACAGTACAGCCCTTGACACAGCTGTCGGCCAAAACAGAACCTGAAGAGTGTAAATACCCTACAGCGCTAATAGACAAAGAACGCTCAAGCGACAACACCGTCTGATGTTGCGTGCATAAGATCATGCGGCCCATGACTGCTGGCACTTCATTGTCAGAAGTGGCGGTTGGTCGCCCTTCACTGCTACAAGCTGCGGTTTGTCACCCTTCACTGTCAGAAGCGGCGGTTGTTATCACTTCACTGTCAATACTGTCAGAAGCGGGCACCAGCACCGAGCACCGGCACGCACCAGCACCCGGCACTCACCAGCACCCGGCACCCTGTCTCTACCACGTGCACAGCCAGCACCTAGCACCAGCACCGGCACCCTGTCTCCACGTGCACAGCCAGCTCACAGCACCAGCACCAGCACCGGCACCCTGTCTCCACCACGCGCACAGCCAGCACCCGGCACCGGCACCCTGTCTCCACCACGTGCATAGCTTCGCTATCTGGCAAAAACAACTTTTTATGCTTTTGGGGCATAAACGATTGGACACTGACCTCAATAATTAACATTGTTTTTGTTTCACATGCAACGATCTGGGTCCTGGGTGCTCTGCCAAACATCCCATGACTCGCCATCTCCTTAGGAAAAGTTCTTACACACTCGATGAGAATGAATCTGAAATAAGTTGCACACAAGCCAGACTCCGGCGAAGTGGCCTTGAGGTAAAGTTTTTTGATCAGGGATTATTGGAGCTGAAATATGTTTATTCAACCAGATTAATTCATTCACATGGAATGGTCGCTATTGCTTTAAACATGTTGCGGAGTGTACAGTACTGTACAAGTACCTGCAATTCAATGTCAACACTTTGCAACAAAAAAACGAAGAACATACCAAGAACATGCAACATGGAACACTTAACTTATCCATACCAAGGAACAGTTGGCTCAGCCAAATCCAGTGGTCTCACTGGCCCACATGGCCAATGCAACTCACTCTTCAATGGATGCATGACCTTGGTAACACGAATGCCAACATCACAACCCCTCTAATATACGACGCATCTTTCTTTTTTCTACGACAATGAGTTTTCGACTACTTCCCTTGCACTGGTCTCACTGACCCACAAAGTTTTCAATGTAAAAGTAGTTTGTAAATTGACACATGCTCTTCTAAGGGATTTGATTGATTGTTAATCTGCCCCACCTTTCGATTGCACTACAAATCTGAGTCTAATGAGTGATACTGGTTCATATGTTCCGCTGAGTCCTGAGGTATCAGCCCAGTCAATCTCATCGATGAGGGCGATGGCTCCTCTGAAGACTTCCAACATCTTCCGGGCCACCTCATGTCTTCGTGGATCTCCTCGCTACTAGGGTGGAGGCCATTGCTACTGTTGTAAAAGTATATAATCAGCCTGCCACTGTGGAGGCTAAGGCGTGATCCTTCAAGGCTTCTTCCTGATTCCCTTCAAAGCGCCTTGGCCCTGGCCAAGTTCTTCTTTTGAAAACTTCTGGTGCTCCTCTATAATAGAACAAAAGTTACTTGTGTATATATATATATCAGTATCAGGTCACATCATCAAAACGATCTGACTGACAGGCACTTGCAAATGGCTTGCTGTTTCACTCGAGGTACAGTACATGCATCCGAAATGTTTCAACACACAGCCGAAAGTCGAGTTGTCCCCTAGACCGTGTCTGTTGCACTTTAAGCGTTGACGAGGTGTTGTTCTGCAATTGCAATGAGCGGTTGATGTGCATGTGACGCAAAAGAAAACTAAGCCGCCAAGAGCTTGACTAGGAAGACAGTCTGCGCCAGCCTTCAGAGCGAATTCCAACGCGGCCTGAGGCTTTGCAGCTGTCACAAAACAATGTTGTAGCTATATAAGTGGTACAGTACCAGTAGGATCGGACACCAAACCAATTCCAGTCCATGCACAAACTAACAACGCCCCGTTCGGTCGTAAACGCGCGCCGATGGTAGTCTGTTCTCGGCTAGAGAAATGCTTCAAGTGAGCAAATTGGTATAGGTATAGAATGGTATAGACTTAAGCGACTTCATCAGTAGAGTCCGACCACGAACACTTCACTCATTTCCGAAACCCTTTTCTCTTGCACTCAATTGTGCACGCAGTCTTTGTCCTCGAATTTGTGAATAAACTCCGAAAAGTTCGCAACAGTTCGTGTCTAGTGAAGTGTGTGCCGGATCCCCCCCCTCCAGCAGTAGAACGCATGCTGGTGCATGGTGATAAAAATCAGCGTGTCAAATGTTCGCGTCACGCAAGCAGTGCGTTGGCGTTGAATGCTGGCAGTTGAACCCATGCATCGCATGTTCGTGTGTCGTGAAGCAACATCTCAAAAGAATATGCAACACCAAACCGCATGATATGCTCCTGCAACGGGAAGCCGTCTGTTTCCTGTATTGATTGCAATACTATTTTAATTGCATTTATATACTTCTGATCACAAAGCAAACCATCATCCCCACAAGCTCCCACCTAGCTCGAGCGCGGAAACAAACAGTTGTGCCCCCCAAATGAATTCCGATACAACAGCGACATGACTTTGGCACTCCACTGGGGAGAGGCTGTGCTTGCGCGCCCGTTTACATACCAAAGGAGCTACAAAACCTGAGCGCATCGCTAAGAAATCTCCGCATCCTGCCAGAGCTAGCTGGAACATTGGAGGCATTCTGTTGGGCGGCAAGCTCTGCAACTCTGAGAAGCCTGGCAACTCATCTCTTGCTTTTGCATTCACTCACAATAGTAGGGTGTGGCATCGCACCCAAGACTGTAATCGGCAACAAGCATGCTTTCCATCTTCGAACACTGTCGCTGGATTCGACCCAATGTGTCGCATGACCTTTTCACACTTTTGGCGATGGTGTTAGCCTTAAAAGTACTACTTTGAGAAGTCCTACTGTCTGTCACTTGCAAGCTCCCAACAGATTCAGTGCAATTGCACCGAAATTCACCCTAGGAGAAAGGGAATGGCAGTTTCATGCCGGACCAAAACTATCCGCATATGCTCACCGATGAAAAATAGCGACATCAAAAAGGGCCTGCTGCAAAAGTGCTTCAATACAGTACTCACTGTAAAGCCTTAAATATAGTAACATGAAAGAACCTACTTCCTTGTTTGCTCAAAGCGGTCTTGGTGGGCGTATGCATCTTTATGTACAAGATCAAGGGACTCAAGCTGTACAAACTCCCTATCACGGAGTGCAATTGGAGCAATGCTCCGAATGTTGGCAGCGTGGAGAGCTTACATGCAAATTTAATATGTTTTCTTGCCTGTCCTCTCCTAAGCCTACAGTGGTGGGCATCGATCTCATTGCGATGCAAAAGAAGTTCTAAATCATCCAAATGAGGGTGACGTCCAGTGGTGCCATACTGCTGCCGCTTGCTGGGTGCTTAAATTCAGCATCCCAAAGCCTGGCAAATACACATCACTTTCTGTCAAACCTGTCATTGAAACTTTTGACCACAGAATCTAAACAAACACGACAGATCTTGTCGTACGATATTTCCCCTGAACCCATTGTTTGCAAGAACTTCTTTAAAGATGATCTTTGTTGAACTTCTCCTGGGGATGCCACGATCAAGCGGTCTTTTTGCTAGCTGTGATTTTAGTCATTTTCATCAGTACTCCTTTTGGCCTTTGTCAGCTTACACAAAGAACTGCAATCAGCAATGCGGTTCTTCATCCGCACAATCGAACACAGAGCCACAAAGGGTACCCCCCCAGGCCCCAGACCCCATCTATGTGTACTATGCGGATACAGTCCAAAATGTGCACGTGGTCATTCATATGTGGTCTAAGCTTAACCAACACCTGAGTAGGCTGTCCTTTAAGTGAGTCGAACACCTTTGGCATCTGATCTGGTTTATCAGCCAAACCTTTGCCAGCTGTTTGTGGTGCATCAAATGCTTGCACTACAAACCGCAAAGGGTATGGTTGACTGTCAAAATGCGTCAGTGACATTTGCAAACCTGGGGGGGCCTTCAACATCTCATATGTTTTAGGTAAAAACATGTAAACAACTAAAACCACGCGTATTTTACACATGCGGGGTAAAACTTCAATACCTGCGTGACGTAGATAGCGCGGGGCCGTTCAGGAGCTGGTGGAGCTGTGGCTGCGGCTGTTGCTGCCGCTGCTGGGGGGGTTGCTGGACTCTTGCTGCTACTGGGTTAAGATGACATTTCACGCCAAACCCGCCAATGGACCAAGGGCAAAAAATGATGAACTAATTTGTTACGCCACGTTTATCACGACGTGACTAGACGAGCCGTGCACCACCGGTCACGAAGTGGACCGTTGTTTATGGTGAGACGGGACTCCGGCGGCGTCGCACTTTTTGGATGATGGAGGTGGTGGAGGGTGGGTGGGGGGTGGGGGGGGCTTTTTCCCCCGCTCCTACTTAATTATATAAATACTGTAAGTAAGGGAGTAGTTCGCTACTAGCATTAGGAAGCTCCTAGCTAGGACACAGGATAGCGCTCCCACTAATGATTTGCTTCCTAGATTTTGGGGGAAACTCAGCATGTGGGACATGGACAAGTGGAACTTTGAGGTTTTGCGTTTTGGCAACACAGCAACACACACACACCCATCAACAAATCGTTGTTATATGATAGGAAGCCTAGTGCCGAGATAGCGCCAACCCTTGCAGAATCACCGAAGTCTGGTGAGGGCCCGCTTCTTAACTCAAACCTATTGGAGTTATATGTAAAGCTTAACCGTATCAACCAGAAATTGTACTTTTTTGATTTTGGTGTAGCAATTTTATCTTGAGTATGTATTAGGTTAAAACGAAAAAACATGTGTGGAGTAATAGCATGTATATAATACATGTAATAGCAAAAATGGTGAACGCGATATCCCTTATGGTGCCGCCTCGCTGGAAGAAGACCTTCCAATTGTGCATACAGACCAATTGATCACTTGATATCATATGCAATAATGGGAAACTAGCTTGAGCATGTATCTTTTTATTGAGCATGTATTGACCCGGAGAAATAACTTTTGAGACCAGAGAAAATAGGGACCCGGACTAGACGCGGAAAAACCCGGACTCTGAGCGGAAAAAAACGGATTCTGAGCGGATATCAGGAGCATCTAATGGTGTTACTTGAGCATGTATTGGGTACGGTATTTCAATGATTTATTACATGCAAAAGCCATTGGGCCAATATGGAGACTCTACCGAGCCGTGCCTGGAGTTGTTCGGAACTGGTTGACGGGGCAGCCATGCTTGCTTATGAATACTCGATAATCAACCCGGAGAAATTCGAGTTGAGCATGTATTTAGTAAAAAGGTAATATTTGTTTAAAGAAGCAATATATAATTGATTTTTGGAAGTACCAGTATGTATTTTTCAAAAATGTACATTTTGGAAGACGGTGTAACAATTCTAGCACTTTTGGTTTAGCTGGTATATATATAATATAGTAACATATACATATAAATTGACATGTAAAGCATGTTGCCAATGAAACATATCACGTGAGGAGGGGTGATGGATTTAGTAATGGGGATGGAAATAGGAACCCTCCTATCAGCATTCATGTGACATCACCACGTGACTCGGTCATTGTTCTTGAGTAGGGTCAGGGTCCTTTGAAAGTAATCCATGTAGTTGGCCTGCCGCGCGTAGACGGCTGCGGCATTCTGACTATTTTTTGCAAATTCTGTGTGGTATTTGCAGCATTTTCTGTGTGTCAACAGGGCCACTGGGGAGAGTGGTCGCTTTTGCCATAAGCATTTTCTATGGCATGTTCATGGTTTCGAGCAGTTATTATGGTATTTACTGTACTTTTTGTTTGCAATCGATATCACAACATGGTCATCGACCAGTCGTGTGACTGAAATGGGGCGGTGTGGGGGCACATCGATTTCACAATATTGTCATCTATTTCACAACATTGTCATCGATTAGTCCTGTGATAAAAATCGGGTGGGGTGGGGGGTGAAGGTAAATCGAGTTCACAACATTGTCATCAATGGGTGTGGCGAGTGCACTGCCTGCGAAACCTCTCTGCAGACGATGTGTTTGTACAGATTAGCAAGTTGTTCTGACGCTCCGTTGAAGAACAAAAGGCAGCTGAGTTCAAACCATTCATATGGTAACGGTAAAGTAGCTTTTCCAGCACAAGAACTCTGCTCACAGAAATGCTAATCCCAATGTAATTTCAATAAAAAGTGTTCTTAAACAAACAACAAATGGTCCCAAAACCACATGGCCGTCTAGACGCGGCGGACCATGTAGTTATAATAGTGCATCAACTCACAAGAGAGCTGATGTGTAAAACAACACTTAGGCCTTTGAGATAGCTGGCCCCGTTTCACGTGGTCTTCAAAATAGCTATTTAAGTGCAACATGATGCAAGATCGCAACCGAATAGTATTTGTGCGCACACCGTAACATCAACCAAGCGTAACTCCGGATGGAAGTGCAAGTGGCGCAAGAAATTTCGAGGGTACTCTTCTGGGCTTGCAATGATTTGTAAGCAACAACAAGCACAACATCTGCTGCCACCAGCCATCTCTGCTTGATGTCATAAACTCCGAATTTAGTTATATACAGCAATTCGCAGGACATCATAAAATATCACAATCGGTCCTGGTCCAGTGTTCATCTTTAAATGTGGATCATAGGTGATATAATCTTCGTTGGACTACCTACAGGAGAATCTCTCATCTTTTGTCATCCCCAGTTTGCAGGAGCAATTTTAGCCGTTTATTGCATCCGATGACTGTGCACCATGTGATACCTGTGCATCGACATCATGTACACCTAAGAAACCTGACTTGATCAACAGACCTGTCAATACGCGCAATAAAGGCAAGCTCCCATTCATGCAACTTTCAACAGGTTGTTGGCCAAATCTTTATATACGGATAGACAAGTCAAGTCAATGCAACTCCGGCAATTGGTGCGACTCTGGCAATTGGTGCGGAGTGTCAAACTTGAGCTCTGATGTGCAACAAAGGCCAAGTTCAAACATCAACACGGAAAATACTGAAAGAGGATGTGTCGGGCCAATAAATGATATAAGTTGTTTCAATCAAATGAAATTGAACAGTATGCAAGTTGGTTCTGGAGAAAATCAAAAAAACACTTATGGCGATTGGCGAATGTCAAGAATGGAATCCTAAGCCAACATATGATAAAGAATGTCGTACTGTATCTGCTTACAAGTATTTGGGAGACCAACCGGTCTGTGCCTTCTTGTCTTGAGACGCAAAGGCGTAGACAGCCTGCCATTGCTCCAGCCAGATTGTTTTTTTTTGTACATATTGCTGAATGTTGGCTAAATATGGTTTTATGTGTTGCTTGGCCCAGCTGTGCACTTGAACTTAAAGGTCAAAGGCTGCCTGAGAGATTTCTGTGCTGAGGTGAGTATGGCGATGCAGGAATCCTGCAATCCCATAATTGGTCACTGCTGAAACATACAAAGTCGCACACTATATAGTGTCCTCTGACCAGCGCGGCACAACCTCCAAATTTGCACAGTTGATTATGAAAATTACATGAAAACATTGTCAACACTGTACAGTCACTGCGGCTTCTTGACCCCGAGAAGTGAAGTGTAAAGCTGCTCAAGGGCGTACCATCAGGATCTGTAGTCCAAAGGAGTACTCCCATGCAGCCTAAAACTCAGTTCATCCATGCAGATCCGATCAATGGGCTATGCAGTGCTCCCTCACGTTCGTTTATCTCATGTCTCGCACCTTCTGAAGCCAGCAATCCAGCTGCGACCATGGTGGATTCAGGTAGACCCGTCCAAATAATTTTGCAAGCAACTGCCAACTGCACTTCAGCCCGTCAAAAGCCTGGCATGCAAATTCCTCATAGCAATGGAAGTTGTTCGACCTGAGTTATCTAGAATGTAATGTACTACAATTAAATTGTATTTTGCTTTCTGAGTGTTTCCAAACAAAGGCTGGCAAGGTGTTTTCAATGTTGGAAGGGCGGCATGGGGAACGGGCCAAGGACAAGGGTCAGCTGCATGACCTTCAAAGACGGATTCAAATCACCGGTGGCTGCAAAGGCTGGCAAACTTAGAATCAACACAATACCTGCATTATGTTTAGTTTTTTTGCTTACAGTATTTTTGTTATGCATCTTTTGGTTCATGGCTTCCATTGAGCAAGTCAACAATCAGCTGCTTTGTTGCATCACTTCTAGTTTTTTGTGGGCTTAAAGGTCTGCTCGATTTCTTTAGAGACAGTCTTGGCCCATAACAAGGTGCCTCCCAAACCAACTTAAAGGACGAGTAAGAACGCTTCAAAAACTAACAAATCCAAGGAGTCTGGAAAATGCATAGTGCAAATATATATATATATATATACATCCCAGCGCACCTACTCTCCAATCCAGGCCAGTCCAAGCTTGGCAAACTTCGAAAATGCTTGGGGATGTCAGGCGGATGTCACTAACACGAATTCCATACCTCGCACGGTGGCTGGCGGAAATACATCAGATTTCTTGTGCCACACCGCTAGCTAGTCTTGATTCAGTAAAGCCGTGCCACGCCTGTGCACTGCAGCCATAATTTCTGGAGTTGGAAGAATTTCCTTGCCCGGAATGAGATACTTAGGTTAAAAATAATTAGGTAAAAAATTAGACTGAATTTCTGCCTTGCCTCCATCCGGTGCGTGCTACCACGGTGAAGGTGACTCAAGTAGTTGTTCAACCTGATGGGAAGCCACCATCCACCACTTCTGTAGACCAGAAGCTTCCCAAGAAGAGAAACACCGATAGGAAGTACAGGAAGGAGCAAAGTGCTTCAAAGCATTGCAGCAGTGGTGTTTGCGTTTCTTGTATGTACTTCTCTCACTTCTCTCTGTTTTATGATCCCGTGTACCTTTTCTGTTGCTTTCCAATCACATCAATGTCCACTTCTATCATATCATATATATATACAATCGTCTTTTGTCTTCAATTCTTCACTTAATGTCCTCTCTTTCCTTTCTTTGCCCCGCTGTCTTTTGCTCCTCTCTACTTTCCCTGATCTTTTTCACACTGTTCCCGCTATGGGTTACTGGTCTCTAGTTTCTCTCTTTCATCCATGTTTAACTTGTGATTGTTGTTTGTCTGTACTACCTTCTACAATCTCAGCCTTTCTCTCCTACTTTGCTGGCTTTCTCTGCTTGGCTTGTGCTAGGCTTTTGTGTGCTTGCTGCTTATTTTTCGTGACCTGCCAGTAACCTGACGTGTGTAGTGCAATTTATATACAAGAATTTAATCACTTAAGGGCCTCAGCCTGTCCTTGGTTTTCCTCAGCTAACTAGCTAGCGATCATTCATTGTGTGCTGTAGCAAGACCGCGTTGCACTTTTCAGACCCAATCCTCTGCTGTCATGACCTGCTGTCAGCTTCAGCCCCTGCCATCGGCCCCTCCTGTCCACTCCTTCCCCATCTTCGACCCATGCGTGTTGTTATTCTGTCTGATGCTATGCAACCGGTTGAATACTTTCGCAGCTTAGGTGTTTGTAACTCGGATACTTCTTTTCAAAATTTTCTTTGATTAGAAACACAATGAAACACATATAGTTCCTCTATCATTGTGATGATTGCAAATGGCTGTCGCTAAAATTCTGAAGCCTGCCAGCACTCAAAGGCCGGCATCTTGGGGGTCCTGGGCATGGGCCCAACATTGTGAATTTAATTCAAAGCAGTAGACTTGCACTCTGCGGCTGACATCAAAACTTGAGATAATCTTCCACATAATTCCAGAATCAACTGGAAAAAAAAAACAATAGCAGCGATGAGAAGGCACCTGACTGCCATCCAGCCCATTCCTTGCAGAAGTCTTGACACTCCTTCCAGAAGTCCTACGAGCTGTCAATCCGAATGATCTTCGATTCAATCTTCAAGTTGTTCAAACATTTGAAATACGCAAAGAAACCCAACGTATCCCAACGTTATGTACAGTGACAGTACCTCAACTCTTGTCAATCCATTTTGAGATTGGACCAGAAGAAAGACCGAAAGCCAATGGAAACCTTGAGAGCTTGAGGACACGGTAGCACGTGCTTTGATTTGAAGCTCCCGGCCTTTCTTCCCGGATACCAGCAGTCTAGAAGCTTCCGGAAGTGGGCCACACACAGCTCTGAACGTGCATATGACCTGGCAGATTGTTCTCGGAGTTGTGCTCTGACAACACAAGCTCTGGGGCTGCTGCCATCCATTTGACCACTTGTCGTCAATCGCAAGATTCTCCCGAAAATGACGAACAGCCTGCAAGGCATGATTCCTGGACTCTCAAGCCACCAAACTAGCAATCTGAAGGGAAGACAGCTGAGGACAGGTAGTCATCAATGATATTATCTGTGTTGGCATTTCCTGCGATCATGCACTCTCAATATTAAGAAATGTATGTATGTATATATATTATACATACCAGATTCAATATATATACATATATATATTCATCTATGCATGTTTGTATAAGTTTATGATAGTTTATGATATCGTTTGAGTACTGGGAATATTCGACTTTGTAACGCATTAATATATCTATAATATGTGTATATATATATATATATGATTATCGCACTCTGAAGTGACGTCTACGAGGTTGGCAAATTACTCGCTTAATCTGCAATGGAAATTGAAACAAGACTCTGGATGTTGATCTATATGCAGAATGCACCCAAAAAGGGTCTTAAGTGGTGGTGTCACAAGCATCTCTGTTGTTGAGACTGAAGTACCGATTTGCTCAAATGATTGGAGCGAATCCCTGCAAAGCTCGTGGCTTTTGACAAGAACCTCCCTCTCTCTCAGACAAAAACGGGCCCCTTCAATAAGGCCACCCCTTTGAAAGGGGCCTTCTTCAAGGGGCCCTTATCTACTTTTCTTGCTCTTCTTTTTCCTTACATAGCAGCTAATACGCTCAAAGAATGAAAATCGTACGACTTTAAAAAGTAGGAGTATCTGTTTGGCGCTTGACTTGATCATTTCAGTCTGCCTCTTCCTTTGCCCAAGTGGAGAGACCTCCTGGATTTTTCTGCTTTGGCTGTGCTTGCTCAGGCTGCCTGCTCGTGCTAACCTTGGCCAAGTGGCAGATTCGTAAGAGTCAGTCTCACAAATCGTGTGAGGAAAACACACTTATATAATAAGTACATCAAAATACTAAGCCTGCAACTGTCACAGGCTCCGTTCGCAGTCTGGACAAGTGCAATTCGCTGTTGATTTTGACATTGACTTCGCTCGATTGCTCTGAAGTCTTTGGCTCAGTTTGCAAGAGCTTCTGACACACATCCAGGCAGTCGTTGTGGTCCGACTGCTCCAATTCCTTCTGGTCTGGGTGGAGCAGCTGAGCAACAACTCTACACATGGATCTGAGTGCTCCATCTGTGTCCAGTGGCGCCATGGCGATTCTGAATGTTGAACGTCAATCTGTAGCGATGGCCTCCAACCTAATGTTGAACGTCAATCTGTCCTGGACTCTATATAGTAGTTTAGTAGTATCTATATATAAACACTGCACGCGTGCATGACACCAGCCTCTGTGTTTCATGCATTATCCAGAAAATAAGCTTGGAGAGAGGATGAGAGAGGCATCCACAAATGCAAAGGCAATGGCAAAACAAACAAATCACACACAACAGAAAATAACTACAAATCTAACCCCAAAAAATCACATGCAAAGGAACATTAAAACATGGAGGCATCACAAAGACCTGAGGGGCCGCTGACATCAAAGGCTCAAACAGGGCTTCATGATGTTTCATGCGGCACTTCAGGCAGCTGCAAAGCTGTGCTGAGTGCGCTGAGTCAAGAACTTGATGCTCTGAGGTGAAGCGCAAATTACGCTTCGTCTTCTCCGGGCATGCTCAAGGCGAAGCAGCAGCTGGGAAGATACCTCAATGTGTGAGAAAGGCAGGCCCGGCAATATGCCGAGGCATGCTCATGGTGCAAGACGGTCAGGTGAACATTGCGCAAATGCTACAGTAATCTAATAGCGATGGTCTCCACCCTAGTAGCGATGGCCTCCAACCTAATAGCAATGGCCTCCAACCTCAATGGCCTCCAACCTCATAGCGATGGCCTCCAACCTAATAGCGATGGCCTGCATCCTTATGCCGCCGTTTCATAGTGTGACAAGTGTGCAAGAAAGTCGTTCAGGTCATGGCCCTCGTTTCTCGAGAAAAGTCGAAGGTAAGAACCTTTGCCGCTGATGGCCAAGGATTCAGGTGTTTGTAAAGCTCAGAACAGGTGCATGCTTAAAACTCAGCCAAAGACTGGCAGCCCCAAAGATGGGCTACACAGTCGACTTCTAAGCCTCAGGTGCTGCGAAATAGTGACCAGTCTACTTTGCTTCATTTTATGTAGCAATGACCCTTCCCATGTATCAGACCATACAAGACCAAAAAAAATAAGAGGTTGTTGCATCTGCGGCTGCAAGCTACTGACGCTTCCAATCTGCCGAGGTTCTGTTGACGTGAAAAAGTCAGTAGACTTGGCCTGGATGCTAATTTGGTCAAGCGCACCCTATTGATAGCTTAATATTAAGTAAATTAGCAATTGCCATCGACCATTGCTTTCATGGTTGACTGCATGTTGATGCACATCCAGTAGATTCCAGTAGTGTCAAATACATAGCGTGAATAGTTTTGTCAATATTTGCACCAGAAAAACGTCCTCAAGAGTGCAAAATCTAAGTGCTCAGCACTTGCATATCAAACAAGCCAGGTTTGCGGTACTATGCCGACAAACAGGCGTGTTGGCCTGGCGGGTGAGAAGCTTCATTGAATGGTAGCACTGTAATATTCATATTCATACCCTTTCATTCGCACATATTTCATATTATATCATATTATATTCACTACCCATATCATCCATATTCATTATTCAATTCTATTCATGCGTGTTGTTGAGAACAGAACAAGCAAGGAGTGCGTCGATAGCAAAGCAGCTGCGATGGGGGGCAACCACCTGCCAAAGGTGCATGACTTAACAGACTGAACAGGCATACCTGCACAACCTGTTGAATGCACGTCTGATACATTGACGACCTGTTGAATGCTGAGGGTCCCTGCACAGGTCTTTCCTCCTCCCATCAACATTTGATGAACGCATGCATCCTCGACATATTGCAGCACACATGTCGATGCATATCACATCTTGCAGGGCACAAGACACACCATCCGATCATGATGCACCTCGTTCCCATCGACAAATGCCTTCAGCACCTTGTGAAGAGCGACAACATCTGCCGCTGCATCCACTGCCATTGCTTTTTGAAGGAAAACATGTTTAATTAAGGAACTATTTTTATCCTAGGACAAAACCTTAAAAAAGAAACAAACAAACAACATGTGTTCCTTTTTAGTTGCATCACATTTTGCCGTGTTTGTGCGGCCTGGACTTGAGGCTCCCGAAGCATTATGCCACACACGAACTCCACCGCAAGCAAACGTGGATCTCAGGAGAGCCGCAAATCAACGAATATCAACGAGTCAACTGCGAAATGAATCCATCGTCGTGCCTATCAAAGCTGAATTGATGCCAAAAGAATCTGCAGTGATAAAGTGACGTTCCTGGTGTAACATCAGTGATGATCGAGCATGACCAACAAGAAAGAACAGCGGGATCCTTGGCCACCTCTTCAGCCACAACTTTGCCTTTCATCTCTGGAGATCTACCGTCCTGGAAAAGAGTGATCTCTTATGAACGTTGCTGGGAGGCGACTTGACAGTAATTAGCCACGATAAAGATTATCAAAACAAGTTGAAGAAGTGTCTCGCCATCGTGACCATCGAGGCCATCTCTGTTGACGTGAGCCAAGAACTTGTGTGTCTGTGTCTCAGCAATGCGGATGGCACTGATGACATCCTCTTCCCGCAGCAATCGTAAAGCAGAAGCACACTGTGTCGCACGAACCTCTCGTATGGTGTTGCAAATGGATGAAACGGTACAAGTCATGACTGATGACTGCATGACTTGTTGATCGGGCCTGCAGAAACAAAGCGTCTGCAACCAGCCTCGACAAGAAGACAAGTCGCCTACCTATGACATGCAGTGCCAAATACCAAAACAATCCAAAACATATGTATTCAATCTCTGAAGAATGAAGAGACCAGCCCCGTCAATCCATTTCATGCTCAAATGTGAGCTGGAAATGCTAACAGTAACTAACTCATCTTCCGGACTGATTATCTGCTTGTCTAATCAACATTTGACAAACATAGCTTATTTCTGCCCCTGCTCTGCCAGGTCACGCGAACGTTTTGTTGTCATCAATTCCAAGCACAGTGAGCATATCAGAACCTGGGAAAGGACCCCACCCGCAAGATTTATACGAAATTAGCACGCTTCAATAGAAACAAACGATTTCATGCAATTTTGTTGATATTTGCTCCAAGTAGCCGGTGTCTGCCATGAAAAGTCGAACCAAGCCAAAAAAGTCCAGGCGTGGCCTCTGTTCATCTCAAGTCCACATCGGCAATACCACCGAACCATAACTGCAGCTGGGTCACGCTGTACCAGCCACGAGCTGTAACGAACGAAACGCTGAATTGTTGTGATTGTAGCCATCCTGGGTCGGGTTGACGTGGATGCAAGAAACACTTCAAATATAGTAGAAACAAGTGCCACGCTACTAGGAACAAGTGCCTTACTAGTAGTAACAAGAACTAGTAACAAGTGAAGAAACACACACACTGATTCATCTCTACCTACTAGGGATGGCCTCCAACCTAAATACAAGCGATGGCCAACCTTTTGTCTCAGGTCCCATGAGGTCCAGACTGCCAAAGAAGATGCAGCCTCCTCTGCAGCGACTAGTGCCTTTGCAAACAAAGCAAAACACATACATACCCCATTTGAGGTACAAGTATGTAGAGGTAGTGGCTCGTATATTTACTACATAAACCTTCAGGCAAGTTCTAGTTTTGCTCTCAATGACCTGCCGCTGTCTAGACATGGACATGGAGTATACAACACATTTCAGAGCTAAAATTCCTTCTTACAAGGTATTGATCCGATATGCAAAGTCAAAAATTGCCTCCGCCGCCTTGAGCCGGTCGTGGTTTAATTGCCTTGCTCGTGTGACACTCTCGAATACCAAATCCACGATATAGATTATACAAATGCAAGACATATGTAGCAATGCTACTAGGAGCAAAGGGCATCGCTACTAGGAGCAAGGACGCTACTAGGGGCTCGTGGCCTTACTACTAGGAGCAAGAAGCTACTGGGCCCAAGAAGCTACTAGGAGCAAAGGGCATCGCTACTAGTCACTAGTCCCATGTCCTATCTACTTCCATCTAAAGAGTCCCTGGGCCTTTGAAGGGCTGCTGTGATCTCTTGGAGCCCACATCGCAAGGCTGATGCCTTTGAAGCGACCAAACAAAAGGCTTGCTGGATGTACTTTCTATGACATGTTTAGACAAAACTATCGCAGGTCCAACGCCTGTGAGGGCATTTGGAGCTCGTTCAAGGAGTCCTGCAACCGCTGGACCTGAACCCAAAGCTGAAGAGACTCGAAGATATTGAAAGGGACTGAACATTGAAAGCAACTACGGAAAGCCTAGACATATTAAAACCTTGTGGACCAATGATAGAGTGATTTCACTTTTCTGTACAACTACCATGTGACCGAAGCATGGGCGCAGCCGCTGCAGTCCCTGAGACCAAGACCCATCGCGCTCCTCGCGAGGTGCATTTTCGATCAGCCTATCAACGGCTTTCTCTTGACAGCATTGGGCGGTGTCAAGCTTGCTCAGGCCTGGATTTTGTTCATGACCCACGAGGCAAAGGCCTTGAAAAACGAATACGCTACACCAAACATCACCAGACTCCTCCAAGCTTGCTCTAGGCTCTAGGTGTTCGGCAGGAATCTCATGAGGCACAGGAACACGGGCGAGAAGTCCCTGGCAAATCTCCTGAGTACCGACCCAGGAGAGCTCTACCTCTCCGTTTGACAAACATGCAGGGACATCCGTGGAAAGTTGAAAGTTGCTATCTACGAATCCTTGGAAAGCCGACAAGTCAAGAGTGCCCAGAATTTGGATCAAACCAGGTCTTAAGTCAATGCATGATACGGAATAGTTCACTTGGACGACTGCACAAAGCCAAAAGCTTGGCAAACAGTTTGCTACACTGTAGGCTCGACAAGGATGCAGCCTGCAAAGGCATTCGAAGAGATGCAATTCCAGAAACCTGTCAGCCGGCAAGCGATTCTCCAATACAGCATTGGAAGACTTCTTTACCAATTGGGTCGCATGGTTGTCCAAGGCATTTGCAGATCGTGTCTGACAATCGGAGGTGTGGACAAGAGGCCAAGCCTAGGCCGTTGCCAAATCAGGTCATTCCAGCTGGATGTATTTGCGATATAATATGATATAATAATGTGCGCTTCTTCTTGTGCAAAGAACCCGTCCAAAAGTCGAAGTGCGTCATGCTTTAATAG